TTTATGCTAAAAAAGTGCATATAGCTGCTAATTGTATTTGTTGTTTGTTGATTTTCAAATATAAAACTTATTGAAATGTTTTCAGTGTGAATCAGTTCTTTTTGAACATTTTCATCTAAATTTAACAAAACCGTGATAATATTGATAATCGTGATAACTTTGGTCACTATAATCGTGATATGAAATTTTCATACCGTTACATCCCTAATGTGCGCACATGTGTACAGTAGATAGTAATCTGGGGTACTTATAAAAGACATGGGAACCATAGTAAACCCAGAGTTAAAGTGAAGATATTTCTGTTGAGAGTAAGAAAGATAAAGAACATGGGAATGAACAAACTGAAAAACAACATGACACAGCTGCGAGCTAAGCAGACACACAGGTGCACTGTGGGTAAATATTGTAATTCCACCAGCATTAAACAGAAGATGAGAGATTAAAGATGTCATGTAGGAGCAATGAGAAAGAACTTCTTGCACACAAAATACTAACAGTTACAAGAAAACAAAGTAACAGAGAGGTTACCAAAAGGGGATGAGGACCACCAGCCACAAGAGATATGTGATAATTGGGACACAATCAAAGGCATCAACAGAAGCTAAGGCAACAAAAACTCACTGTTATATTTTTGGGGAGGGAAAAAAAAAACATTTTACTGGGCAGAAATCCTTGGCAAACCAAGTGACTACACTTTATGTTTAAAGCTGGTTAGTAGAAGCACCATGTCTTACAATCGAACTGCTGCTTCTGTTAATGCCATCATATTTTTTAGTTTTGTTTTTATTACAATAGAAGTACCAGATTGTACATATCAGCTCAGATAAGAGGACCTTAGATTTTGTCTTGGACAGTGCCTGAGAGCCGAAATGTTTGAGAATCACTGGGCTATGGTATTTCTCTGTTTATATAGCCAAGTAAATGTCATTTATGGCGATTGTGCTGCGCCACACTGTTATCAGTGCTGTAACTCAGCCTGGGAACTGAGATTCCCCCACACACATCTCAACCATCTGAAAAGAGAAAGAGAATGAAATTCTTTGACTCTCATCTTGAAGCTCAGATCAGTATGAGTGTCTTATGCCGGTCTCATACACTGATCCATATCTGGAGCTGTAAGAACAGACATTAGTCTATCTAATCAGGTTTCTCCAGCTCTGAAAACATTCTTAATTACTGTGGCATTGATACATTAGATCCATTAGAAGGACAAACTTATTTTACATTACACAAATCTAAATTCCAGAATCTGTGTTGTTTGAAGTGAAAGTTCAACTGATGTTTACCAGGTCTAAACATCATCCGCATGCCTGAATGTTCTTCATCAACATCAGTCATTTCAGATATATGAGCCACTTTTTGTACAGAATACATTCTAACAGCCCTCTTCAAGAGTAAATGAATTCAAGGTTGTGGGATCTTCATTGGTTTTTGATGTATGTTCAGATTCAGCTACACTCTTAAATATTAAGGTTCTTTATTGGAATCAGCATTTCAGTTTTTCTTTCAGTTGCACAAAAAGGTTATTTAGATTATTAAAATGTTCTTCACTCTAAGAAAAAAGGGTTCTTTTAATAGGAAGAACCCAGGAGTTCTCAACTAATTATGTCCATGGTTGTTGGAGAATTTGAGAGGAGTGAAGGTCTTTTTTTACAGTTTGGCAGCAGGACAGCCTTCAAAAGCAAGACACAGAATGCTTTTCCTTTCAAACAGTTCCGATTGAGGTGCCAAGAAGG